CAGGTAAGTAAGATGCTGTGATGGTTACGTCGTTCCTTATGCACCAATTCCAGAACCGCACTGCTTCGGCGCAGAGGGAACGGGATCTGGCACCTCCCTGTCTGTTCATGTAGTACATCGCTGCCACATTGTCTGTGAATATCCTGTCCGTGGTGTGCCGTATGCGTGGGAGAAAGTGCTTGCATGCTAGAAAAATGGCACGTAACTCCAAGAGATTGATGTGATAAGTTTTCTCTGCGGAGGACCACCTGCCCTAAATGTGGTCGTTGTCCATATGTGCGCCCCAGCCTATGAGAGAGGCATCTCTTATGAGCGCAGAGAGCTGAGGATGACGGAATGGGACTCCTGAGAGGAGGTTTCCTGTATGCTTCCACCAAGACAGGGAATCGTGGACATGTGGCTGCACAGTGACCGTCTTGTGAATGCTGTGTTTTTGCAGTATGTATACCTTTGCTAACCAGTGTTGAAGATCCCTGAAGTGAAGTCTGGCATGAGGGATGACAAAGGTGGTGGATGCCATGTGGTCCAGAAGACAAAGGCAGGTATGGAAGGATACAGTCAGAGCGGTCTCGAGGACCTTCACTAGTTCTTGTATCGAGTGAAACCTGTCTAGAGGTAAGTATGCCCTTGCCGTGATAGAATCTAGGACTGCCCCTATGAACTTTATATTATGAGTGGGGACAATGGTCGACTTCTGTTCGTTTATTATGAGGCCCAGAGAATCGAACGTGTTTCTGGTCAACGAGATCATTCGTATGGTCTCTTGATGCATTGGCGCCTTTATGAGACAATCATCTAAATAAGGGAATATGAGAACATGTTGGCGACAGAGATATGCAGCGATGACCGCTAGAGTCTTTGAGAAAACTCTGGGAGCCGACGCCAGGCCAAAGGGGAAGATCCTGTATTGGAAATGTTAATTGTTTATCACGAAGCGCAGGAAGTGTCTGTGTGCCAGATGAATCATAATGTGAAAATATGCAAGTTGAGTTGTTGTGATTCAGAGATGGGATTACTGTGGCAAGAGTCACCATCTTGAAACATCTTTTCTGCAGATAACAGTTGAGCCAACACAGATTGAGGATCAGTCTCCATCCTCCTGTCTTCTTTTGCATCAGGAAGTAGCGTGAATAAAACCCTTTCCCTTTGAACTCGTTTGGGACACTTTCTATAGCTCCGATGGTAAGTTGGTGTAGAGCTTCCTGTCGCAAAAGAGTGTCGTGAGAGGGGTCCCTGAAAAGGGACGGGGTTGGTGGATGGGTAGAGGGTACAGACGCAAAGGGGGTGGTGAAGCCTGATATTATTTCCAATACCCGTTTGTCAGTGGTTACTTCGGCCCAACGATTGTAATAAGGCCGAAGGCGATGAAAGATGGGTATTGTATCGGCAGTGATGGCAACGACGACTGGTGAGGTTGCGCTCTCGACAGGTGAGTCAAACCTGCTGTTTTGTGTGCGGTACATTGGTTGCCCTAGACGGTTGCAGACGCCTACGCTGTGGTCTTTGTTTAGATCAAGTCTGATCAAAAGGACTTTGGAATTGAAAGTCATATCACCTCTGATACGGGAAGTACCTTCGGAAATGGAACGGTGGTACGTACGTGCCGAGCGTACGTACGGTTGTACATGAGTCCTTTCCAGTGTGTAACACCGCATCGGTTTTGTCCGCGAAAAGCTTCAATTTGTCAAAAGGAAGGTTTTTGACTTTTGCCTGCAAATCCCTAGGGGCGCCCGCAGCAGCCAACCATGATGCTCTGCGCATGGATATTGCGGTAGCTATTGATCTTGCGGCAGTATCCATAGACTAGCTCTAGAGCAAGCGTACCCCTTCTGTACCATGGTGTGGAGTCTGGCCTTGTCCGCTTCGGAAGCGTTCTGGGCAAGCACTGCCAACTTGGCGATGTTATCGAACCCATGGTTGGACAGAAGTGCCGCGTAATTGGCAATACGAAGAAGGAGGGTGGACGAAAAAAAACTTTTCGACCGAAGAGGTCTAATTTTTTGGCCTCTTTCTCTACTGCTGCATTTTTCACCTGTGGATTCTTAGCACAGTTAAGGGTTGCATCCACTACAAGAGAGTTTGGCCGGGGGTGGGTAAAAAAAACTCCAAACCCTTGGAAGGGACGAACTGTCTCTTTTCTGCCCACTTTGATGTAGGTGGGGTGGAAGCTGGGGTGTGCCAGATTTCCGAGGCTGGTTTGAGAATGGCCTCATCAATCGGAAGTGCTGCTCTCGACTGTTGTCTCGGGTGTAAATTTTTCAGCAGCCTGTATTGCTTGGTCTGCACATCTGCCAGCTGGACATTCTGTGTCTGCGCTACCCATTTAAAGAGATCCTGGAACTCTTGATCATCATCTGGGAGTGAAGTGTCCCCCTGAAAGACAGCGTCGTCCGGGCAGGATGACGAAATGTCAACTTGAGACACAGTGTGCGGAGGGGCATCATCGTCCGAAATCTGACCCTCCTCTGGTTCGGACATCTGAAGAGGAGGACGGGCAGCCACCGGAACCTAGGGCGATGGGGCTGTTTGTTGGAGCGAGCCCATAAGAACGGTCGTACTGGGTCAGACCAAAGGTCCATCTGCCGACAGTGACCAGCATCAGGTGCCTCAGAGAGGGTGGACCAAAGACAATGATCAAGCGATTTATCTCATGCCATCCTTCTCCAGCCTCTGACAAACAGAGGCCAGGGACACCATTTCTATCCCCTGGCTAATAGCCTTTTATGGACCTAACCTCCATGAAATTATCTAGCCTTCTCTTTAAACTCTGATATAATCCTAGCCTTCACAAGAGCCCACCGGGGACTGGCGTCTATCCAGAGATGCGCGGCAACAGCAAGAATGGGAAGGAGAGCAAGATCTTGTATAGTCATGCGAAAAGTAATCTCTCCCCCCATGGCGATAGGAGTAGTCGGGAGACGGCTTCCTGGATGAATGGGCACTGCTGAATCTACTGCGGTAAGACCTTGAAGGCGAACGAGTCGGTGAACAAGATCTACTACTAGGCATCCCATAATGCAGCAGGGGGTGCCTGTACACATAAGTATAGTGAGGCCTCAAATGCCGGGGCGGAGAACATGGGCTGCACTGATAACGAGGCTCTCGCGGAGAGTGGTATCGTGGAGGGGATGGAGATGGTGCCGGGGAAAACATCAGTGAGGGAGATGGGGACACCCTTCTCGGAACCGATTTCCTTTGAGCCTTTATAGGAATGGCTGAAGGCATGGTGCGGGCCTCATCAACAGAGGAATGTTTTGAGGATTGATCTTCATTGTCCAAAACCAGTATTGGCGAGTGCTGTACCAATGAAGGTGGGGAGACTAACTCTCCTGCTGGTGTCTTATGCGGAACCGAACTGTGGTGATCCGTCGGTGCCACACTTGGTTTCTTAAGAAGTGTGCCTCTCACTCAGCACTGTATCCGGCACCATGGGCGTTCGGTGCCCCGGTGCTGACTGGGCTGTCGGTGCCGTTGATTGAAGTGGTGCCGGATCATGCATCCCATGCCGTTGCACCATCGGTGCAGAGATCCTTGGATCCGACACCTGCGTAGTCAGCCGCTTGTGAATCGGAGAAGCCACTTTCTTCCCCGTAGTCTTAGTAGCGCGCTCGAAGGCACGGGCACCGAAGAGGAGCGCACCAAAGGCTTATGCCTTTCAGATTTTTCTTTCGTGGACTGATGGCCTGTTCCAGAGGTGCCCAGTTGGTCACCCTAACTGATTTTAGATAGAGGGGCCGCGGCCAGGGATCACACCGGGGAGGCTTTCTTTCCTTTCTTCGCGGTCGACTCCCTTGACGGTGACGCCCTCCGCTTGCGCTCCACAGAGGAGTCCCCTTGGGCTGCTTCAGAAGGCTGCAGAGCCTTATCAAAGAGGATGAGCTTGAGCCTCATGTCTCTGTCCCTACGTGCACTGGCTGTTAATATCGAACAGTGAGCACACTTGCTTGGTTTATAGGACTCCCCCAAACAGCATATGCATGTGTCATGGCCATCGGACGCTGGCATGGGGTCCTTACACTGGGAACATTTCTTAAACTCTAGGGAACCAGGCATTTTGATTCAACCGGATTAAAATAGTAATAATAAACTAGACTAGCAACAATAACAGTAACACGAACTAAGTTTAACTTTAACTTTTCTTTTGTTTTTGTTTTAACTAACGAATAACTAACTAACTAACAATAACCTGAAGAAAAACTAATGACATTTTGAACTTTTCAGTTGAAAGGAGCTGCCTCTGAGGAGAGATAATGGAGCTCCGTCGGCAACCTAGGACAGTTGAGAGGAACTGGCGGAGGGGCCGGACCGCGCGACGGGAGAAACGGTGCGAACAGCGTGCGGCGGCTGCTGCGCATGTGCGGTCCAGCCAACTACAGCTACGAAAAGCCTCCGATCAGCGGCACCGGGATGAGCCTGACACCTAGAATGGAGCACCCTCGGGGACCACTCGAAGAAGAAGCATTGTGCCTATTTGCAGTGCTTCCTGCAGCTCCCATTGTCCAGGAACAGCAATCTGGGGCCAACGAGAGCCACAAGCAGCTGTACCTGCAGATAAACAAAGCGTCTGGTAGCCTGCCAGGGACTAACCCTGGTGAACCACATCTGGTCCATGGGCCACTTATTGCCCACCCCTGATCTAAACACGACCCTCAGTTATACCCGAGCAGCTCCAATAACTTCACTAGAACTGTGTGGATATTACTATTCGCAAAATTCTCCCCAACAGTATGGATGGGGTCATGTCTAATTCCAACCTATGTAAGTTATTGCCTAAAAAGTGGATCTAACAATAGGTGTTCTGCTGCATAAATCCCTAAGTAAAGAAAAATAAATTTTAAAATAAGTCCTGGTGACTTTAGAATTCACTAGAGTTTTTAATAAATGCAACTAAGTAAATCATGTCAGTGCAATAATCCACATTGAATTCAACAACATTGGAATTCTAGCTGTGAGTGTAGTGTACATCACCATGCACAATGTATATCAAGTTTCAGAAATACCTCATTCTCCTGGGTAAAGTCCAGAGCATCTTCTCCTGAAGCAAGTAGCGTATGAAGGATCCTTTGTTTCACCTGTTCCCATTCGACCAGCATGGATTCTCGGTGGTACTCTTCAGCCATACCAAAAGTCTATTTGCAGAGAAATAAATAAAAGCTAAGGAACACACAGACACACCAAATAGTCTCAAGGACAATAAAAGTTATAACCACTAACTAATTCTGCTATAAGTAAAGTACAGACAGGAAACAAAAGAAAAGAAAAACATTAATTAAATAGTGAGAGCACCCCCTGGAGCCAATGTTCAGAAGTAAATACTTTAGAAGGGATTATTCAGATTTTTAGCCATTCAAACATAAGCAAGGGACTAGCAAAATGAAAGCACCCTAATACGTGTCTAATTCTGTGAAATGAATGCCTTGAACAATTGAGCTCAGCTCCTGGTTGAAGCCTCTAGGTTAGACATATAAATAATGTTAATAGGTTTGCATTCAAAGATGTACATTTCTGATTCAACACGCAGAGCCATCTGAAGTTTGTTCCATCACTACCAGACATACCACAGAGAATTAGTTGAACTCCCAACTTCCATTAGTTGGTATCAACTGTAGCTTCTGTTACCAAAATGTCTGGAGTATTTGTCCACAGAACTGATTACCAAGAGCAGAAAAGGTTTCTTATAATCCTAACTTCAGGTATAATTTTGGATCAGATTGTCCAATTAAACGGAAGTCAGGGAATCATAGTCTGCAACATCTACTCCACTTTTAGGTTTCGATGTGCACTGCCACCAACACTTAGTGCACCTTACAAGCATGCATGCCACCACACAATCTTAGCTAGGTTCGCCTGGGGAATGGCAGTGCTAATGGAGGCAGAGATGTGTGTCACTCAGAGTGCAAGTAGAAGCCAGGCCATTTCTGCCCTCACAGAAGCAATAAAGAGTAACGTGAGTGATATCTGCACCTAGGACTACTCCTTCATAGAACCTTCCCTGCCCCACATCTTTCTCTGTTCTTGATGTTGGAGTAAACCCATGGTGCCAGGCCAAATTTGTTCCATCCACTACTCTATATTAGGCAAGCAGTTTTGGTAGGCTCTTGGGTTGTCCAGCTTAGAAAAAGGTTTCACTATATTACTATACTTCTAAAAGACAATCAGGAAAGAAAGATGAATGTTTAATGCCAAAGTTTTATTTGGAGGCTTTTATGGGATACTTCTCATTATTTCAGGAAGTCGGCTTAGGGTGCATTAGGAGGAGTATTGACAGCAGATCTAGAGAAGTGATTATTCCCCTCTATTTGGCACTGGTGAGGCCACATCTGCAGTACTGTGTCTAGTTCTGGGACCCCCACTACAGAAAGGATGTGGATGCATTGGAGAGGGTCCAGCGGAGGACAACCAAAATGATTAGGAGGCTGGAGCACATGACCTATGAGGAAAGGCTGAGGAATTTGGGCTTATTTAGTCTACAGAAGAGAAGAGTGAGCAGCCTTCAACTTCCTGAAGAGAGATTCCAAAGAGGGTGAAGAGGGGCTGTTCTCAGCAGTGATGGATGGCAGAACAAGGAGCAATGGTCTAAAATTACAGTGGGAGGAGGTCTAGGTTGGATATTAGGAAAAACTATTTCACTAGGAGGATTGGGAAGCACTGGAATGGGTTACCTAGGGAGGTGCTGGAATCTCCATCCCTACAGGTTTTTAAGTCTCTGCTTGACAAAGCCTTGGCTGGGATTATTTAGTTGGCATTGGTCCTGCTTTGGGCAGAGGGTCTGGACTCAATGACCTCCTGAGGTCTCTTCCAGCTCTACGATTCTATACCTTCATGATTAAATAGAAGTACAAATTAGGTCTTAAAACAAGGGATTAAAATATCTCTCTGTATGGAAACACAGTGCTGCAATATTTTTGTACACAACTTCAGTGAATAGCATTTTATTATTAAAAGAATTTAGCTCTGAACATTTACCCACTAAAAACAAACCATTTAATAAGGATGCATCAAATGTTATATACACACAACAGCTAAATCTCATAGCACTATAGCATGTTAGACAATGAATACAAGTATTCACTGTACGCAGAGAGCATCACAACTGAGCATATGCATGAGTAAACTGAGACACTATTACAATGAATTCACTGCATATTGTCTTTTTATGGAAAGTTATCATCTTGGGATTGTATCCCTTTCCAAGGCACTGTCTTAATAAGTAAGGATCAGTGTTTCTCAGTGTTACAAAGGGGATGTTGCCACTTTAATAAAGAGGTACTAATGGTCATCACTATGTGTTTATGTCTCAGATCTATTGTCAAATACATAATGGTCTAGCCCATTTGTTAACAGGGTTACTGCATTCTCAAACTCAGAATGCAAGGGCTTTCTGAAACAACGGTTTCAAAGGCTACATACACAAAAACAAATCTACTCTATTCACAGAGCAAGAAGTAAGCAGTACTAAACATTTATAATTGTTCCATACACTGTGAAAGAATCAAGAGCTTTTAAACGTGGTCTATCACTATTTAATATGTAGAAATGTCCTTCAGCATTTTTTTTTTTAATACTCCTTTCAAACTTACTCTTTTCCTGGATTCTTCAATGGCTGACAACAATGCATTGTCTTTTTCATTCTTCAGGAATCCCTATGGAAAGGAGAAACACAGTTTTGGTTGAAAACCATCTTTACACTTATATCAGACGAGCATTGCACTACTCAGCTCTTTCAACATGTTAAGTGCAAGCAGTACTCCCAATCTATTCCTGAGGAGCTTAAAGGTCATTTGATTTCACTCAAGGTACAGTAGGATGCCCATAAAGTTCAATGTGAAAATGAAAACACATTAATCCTGCTTTAATATGTATTAAATCATAGTGAAGTGTCCTGCTTCTCTTTTATCTCTGTGTCTCAGCAACTGCTTCCTCTTGCTCTGTGTGAGGGAGCATGGGTGAAAGCTTGTCTGAGCGAGAAGATTGTTGGACCCTAGTAAGTAAAAAAGGTTTTGACTATGAAGCTTCTGGCAAGAGAAAAGTTTTAGAGGCCAATTGGAAATCATGAATAAGAGCTTAAGAAATAGTTGCAAAAGGCTAAAATGACTAAACAATTAAAATAAACCGGAAAAGTTTACAAATGGTCTCTTCCCACCTCCCCACAGCACATCATAAAAAGAGGGTTTTTTATATCTATTTAGATTCTTTGTTTACTCACACATAGTTACTGACCTGCACACAGAAGAAAATGGGTCGGCCTAGCTTGGCAAAACATGCAAGCCATTGCAGTTAATGCTTTGCCCGAAGCTGCATGTTCTTTTGTATTGCTCTTCATCAGCAAGAACGTGTTGTGTTTCAAAAGATTTAGAGTGGACCTCATTCATTACCATGAGAAGCAAGCTGTAAGACCAGCCTTTATTAGAGCAGAATTCACATCTCTTTATTTTGTCATTTTGCTGTGATGCAAATTCAATTACCAAATAATCCAAGTTTATAATTCCTGGATTTGGAGTCAACTCATTAGTAAACCTTAAAAAAAACAACACATCACACACCAGTTTTTATTTCCCCTAAAAATATTAATTACGACTGATAAAAAGGACCAATTTAAAACTCTTCATGTTAATTGAAGAAAGCACTCCAATTAAAGAGTAGGAGTTCAGCATGTTGTACCTTTGATGTTATATGCACTAAGCATAAGAAATATGCAGTAATTGGAAGACCTAGTGGTCCCAATCAGGACCTGGAGCCCCACTGCGTTATGCACTAAACACACACGATAGATGGTCCCTGCCCCACAGATCTTACAGTCGGTCAGTTCCACTCCCTATTCCAAAGCTAATGCTGAAGGCGCTCGAGTGCTCCACTTCAACTGTCACTGAATTCCATGGGCTACAACTACACTCAGTTTCTCATGGGTTGGAGCCCTTAATGGTAGGGTTGCCAGGTTTCCAGTTTTGAACCGGACAGTCCAGTCTTTGAGCTCTCTGTTCAGGAAACAAATTTAGAAAATATAAAAGAGAAAATATAAATGTCCGGTATTTTCTAAACAAGATGTAATGTAGATTGTGATGTAATGTCAAGAGTGTCCGATATTTTTGTTGAAACCATCTGGCAACCCTACTTAATGGAGGATATCTGCTCTAGGTCCTACCTAACCACAGCTGTGCACACACGGTGTGACAGAGTAAATGATGGCTTTATACAATCTGTATGCAACATTTTTAGTTTGAGAGTGTGTGCAGTTTTTTTTTTTTTTTTTTTAATACAGACATGGCACTGTCTGGGTGATTAGTCATAAGCTGGCACTACATGAGCATGCATGCACAGCATAACAAGTTTATGTATTACAGTCAGACAATTGCTATAGAAGTCACACATACACAAGTAACCATAATGTGAATCTTTGTTTGTTCAGTTCCCCAAAATATCCAGGCCTGAACTAGCTGAGCAAATAGAGAACTCAACGGCTAGTAACAATAGCAAGGTCCCTATTATACATGTCCCAGCCACTAGATGGCAACTTTCCTTAGCCAACACAGGTGATGTATATTTTGCCTTCATTGAATGCTATTTTTTTTTTTTTAAATTGAGTACCACGGAAGGATGAATTTCAAATTCTAAGGATAAATCAAGACAGGTGATCCTTGTGAGCTGCCTTTGAACTGCAGGGTTGGGGGACTATCCCCACAGATGTCAGTGACTGCCCTACTGACAGGTAGGATTGAATCTTGTATTGATTTCTCTCCTAACCCCACCTTCCAATATCCATAATCAATAAGGTTTGCTGGTGTCTTTAAGGGGTCAGTCCTTGTGCACTTCTCTGAGAAGTTTCTTAAATTTAAGACAGGCAGAGCTTCCAAAATATTAAGGATCTTCGTCCCGCATACCAACAAAAGATGGAGTTTCCTCTCCTTCCGGGACTATGTTGTTACAGAGAATGGCATATGCAGTAACATAGTTACTGCTGTTCATTTTTCATGCAGACCTAGAGCTGCAAGTGTTTGGATGGGATGGAAGTTGAAGGTGCTGAGTAACAATGGAAATTCTCAGTCCCCATGGCATTGGATGAGGTTGCTGTTTCAGTCTCCTGTGATGAATGAACTCTTAGAAGAGCTATATCATGAGGTAATAGAGAATTCTGCACTCCTCACCTCGCTGAGTAAAGCTTAGCTCTTTTCCTTTCACGTGGCCTAAGCCTTCAAAAGAGTCTGTAACTCCACGGAGGAGAGCCATCAGTGCACAAGAGCAGCCATCATTGATTTCATGGGGGAAAGCAGTTACTGAGCTCTAAGCAAAGCCCGGGCTATTGCCCTCAGGGAGGTGATGTTAGAGATATGACAACTGCTCATGTACCTGGCTGAGAAATAAAGGGCCAATTTTGTAGCAGTGAGGATAATTAACAAAGGGAACAATTTACCTGGGGATGTAGTAGATTCTCTGACACAAAGTTTTAAAATTAAGACTGGAAGTCTTCTAAAAGACACACACTAGCTCAACCAGTGGTTATGGGTCTGTGTGATGAAGAGCGTATTGGTTTAGAATCCCTGGCTTGCATTACACAGGCAGGCACACTAGATGGTCATAATGATCCTTTCTGGCCTTGGAATATAATGATTCCATTGATTAAAAAACCTGGAATAAATCCCACAATGCCCATCCTAGGAGAAAAGATGTGTTTTAAAATGAAGACGTAGCTCATGTTAAACTTTATATCTGTAACACAGAAATTTTTAAGTTAAATGGAAGCTAATCATTCAAGTTCTGAGCTTCCAGCAGCTGCTGTTGGAATTTATCCCAGCTACTTAATTCATGCTTTTACCACCAAAAATAAGTTCTAGCACTTGTTACATATGGAGCTGTAAACAGAGTGAGCATACATTAGGAATGTAAAAGGAGGACCAGCTACTGCTACGCATTCCTTATATAGGTGATTATACTGCCACCTAGTGGCATAAGGTTTTTGTTTTAAATGTAGATTAATATTTGCATTAGGGATGTAAAATCCCATTTAATCAGTTAAATGTTAAGTTTATCCAGTTTACTAATTAAACTGGGGCAGGCAGGGGGACACCAAAGTTGGGCTGGAGTGGCCCCCACACCACGAGCAAATGCTGCTCCTGCCTGACTGCTTCTCATCCCACGCTGGGCTACCAGCTCCAAGCCAGCCTGGGCTGGGAGGCAGCATCTTCACATGGGACCAGAAGCAGCAGCCCCAGAGAAAAGGAGAGCCAGCAACCTTCTCTCCATCCCCACTGCTGCTTCCAGTCCTGCATGAGGCAGCCTACTCCCCAGCCTGGCTGGGCTAGGAATCAGCTGTCCTGCAAGGCTGGAACAGCCCTTCACCTGCAGCGGGCCACAGAACTAACAGTTCATTGTTACCTGGCAGGCATCACCAGCTATGGGTGACGCTTACCACTTAACCAGTTACCCATTCATGTGCCTAATTTGCATATATCTGCTTTAAGGAAAATCCTCTCTGGAACCAGGGAGGATGTTAGGATTGGGGACCGAGTAGGGGCAGCAGAAGAGAGAGATGAACTTCACAAATACAAATTTATTTTCACAACATTCCTGTGTGATGGCACTGCCTGGTATGTAGTACCAGCACCTCCAGACGCAGTACCGGCACCTCCAGTCAGAGCTCAACAACTTTTCCCCGACTACAAGTAATTCCATGTCTCTGTGGAAGATGACAACTTTCTAGAGAAATATCTGTAGCATTTGAGCTTTATTCATACTCCTCTCACATTTTTGAGATCACACATCCTTTGGGAGTTTTTTCAGATCTTTGAGCTTGGGGCGGATATAGCAGCAAAACAAACACAATCAACACTCAGAGTTATGAACACTTTGGGAATGGAGGTTGTTTGTAACTCTGAACAAAATATTATGGTTGTGCTTTCAAAAGTTTACAATTGAATATTTATTTCATACTGCTTTAAAACATTGTTATGCAGAGGGAAAATGTTGCTGTGCTTGTTTCATTTAAATTAAAATGGTTAAATGAAGCAGTTTCCTTACCTCGCAAAATCTTTTACTTTTTTTTTTAGTAGTTTACATTTAACACTGTACAGTAATTGCTTTTTATTTTATTTTACTTTATTTATTTGGTCCCTGTTGCCTACCTGATTACACACTTCTGGTTCCAAATGAGGTAAATCGTTAACTGGCCAATTTCAAACTCTGAGGTTCGTAACTCTGAGCTTCTCCAGTAGGAAGCTTCAGCTTGTGCGTGGATTTTGGAAGCAGGTACAGATTTTGGCCTGTTTAGAGAGTATACCATTTCATCTGAAATACCAAGGCAGCTATCCTAAGGTATGCTGCCCGAGACTGAAGGACCCACAATTGATTTTCCTCTTAGGAAATTTTAGATGGTAGGATTATGATGAGGCATTTGCTTATCAGATACGTGACACACTAGTCGACTAGTCGCTTCCTCCCCCCTTGATGCCGCTATCAGAAAGAAGCGGTGGAGGGGGGAGTGCTTCAAAGCTACAGTGCCGCATGGAGCCCGGGGTCTGCCACTTTGAAATGCCGTGTGCAGCCGAGGGCCAGCTGGGAGTCCCCTGCTGGCCCCATGCTCCTGCAGTGCTTTCGCCCATTAATCTAAATTTAACATCCCTAAGTTCTTACTCACAAAAAGCTCCCAGAT